TTTTTTTTTTTTTTTTTTTTTACCTCAAACTTTGTATTTCTTATCTTTGTATTTTTCGGTGAGATTCTCTAAACTTGTGTGAATATGATAATGACATCACATAATGTTAATGTAATGATGCTACAATTAATATCAAGAATTTGGATTAATCATAAAATGGTGAAATATCTACAAGATTCTCCAACTTGAAGCTTCAATGCATTGCCAATCTGTTATAAATTTTCACCATTGTGATTATAAAATTTAGTGGTCAAAAAAATGTTAAACACTGCAATTGTAAATTATTCAAGCAACTAGCTTACCTGTAGATATGCATATTATTTCAAGCAATTCTTTAATTGGAAATGTACACTATTGAATTGTTTTTATAGGGTCAGAGTCATAAATTCATAAAATATAGCAGCTTTTATTTGAAAATCTTGTATATTGAGGTTACACAATACCTGAATAAAAAGACATGCAATTTAGTTTACCTTTTGTGCATTGTTAAAGAAATAAATAAATCACATCTTGCATGTTTATGAGAACTGAATTACTAAACATCCCTCTATTATTACTTATCGCCCCCTTAAAACATAGTTTTGCCCTTTATTCCTTTTTTTTTTAAAAAAAAATGTCCCACCTTTCTACCTACTTACCGACCGGACCGAGCTCCGAAAAGGCCTCCGAATAACTCGGGCGAGAAAACGGTCCGAAAAGGCCTCCGAATAACTCGGGCGAGAAAATGTCATCCAACAACAAGACTACTGTCGCGACGGCCGGTCGACCGACGATCGCGACCGGTCGTGGTCCGGCCGAGCAGAATTTTTCGGCCAGACCAATGATGGCCGCCTTAGGCGGCCGGCCAGGCCTCACCTGGCCGAAAACTCCGGTCGGCCGGCTCTAGTCCGGCCGGTTTGACCAGCCGACAGTGGTCCAAAAAATGTGAAACATTGCAATTGTAAGTTATTCAAGCAACCAACTTTAGTAATAGATCATTGTCAGAAAATGCATATTTTTCAAGCAATTATTAAATCGCTCCGGGCCACGACAGTGTGTCTCCATTTTTTTTCAAAAGCACTGGGATATCATTAAACCTGATCTTGGCCGCCAACATTGAGCTGGCCAAAAAATTTCGTCTGGTCGGCCGCCGCGACAGTAGTCTTGTTGGATGATATTTTTTAGCCGGAATTATTCGGAGGTCTTTTCAAAATTTTTCGGGGCTCCGTCCGGCCGGTAAGTAGGTTGGAAGGTGAAACATTTTTAAAAAAAAAAAAAAAATAGTAAAGGGCAAAACTGTTTTTAGGGGGTGGTAAGTAGTAATAAGGGGCGATGTTTAGTAAAATATGCAAGATGTGATTTATTTCTTTAACACTACACAAAAAGTAAAGTAAATTGCATGTCTTTTTATTGATGTATTGTGTGACCTCAATATACAAGATTTCCAAATAAAAGCTTCTATATTAATATGAATTTATGAGTCTGACCCTAATTCAATAGTGTGCATTTTCAATTAAATAATTGCTTGAAATAATATGCATACTACAGGTAAAGCTGGTTGCTTGAATAATTTACAATTGCAGTGTTTAACATTTTTTTTTACCAATAAATTATAACAGATTTGACAATGCATTGAAGCTTCAAGTTGGAGAATCTTGTAGATATTTCACCGTTT